TTTTTTTAATTACAGACATATAATTATCTTTCTAATCAATAAATCAACTCAGCCACACACAAAATTACTATTTCTCTGTTACTGAAATAAAATTACATGCTAATTTTATGCAGCCCAAATGCTCCTTTGCATTCATCAAAATTGTAACAGTTTATGAAGAATCTCTGCAGAGTTTATGAAAGCAAAAGACTGTTTTTCAAAAATGTAGCCCCCCTAGAGTAGCAAAATAATGGGGTCAGTGCTCCTTTCAGGTCTAATTTACACCCCCAACACGCCACCCACAAGCGGAAGTACAATGGAGAATTAAGGAAGTAAACACGATGTGACAAAGAAAATGCCATCCAAGAGGTTGAAGAAGACATGAACCTGACAAAGTGGGAAAAAGAAAGGAGTTGACTACAGGGCAGGCTACCAAATAAACATCCCAGACTTTATCCTTCTCTAGTAGGCTGTCAAATTAGATAATACCTAGTATGCTCTCAAATGCTACGAGTCTAGGATTATTCTTCTCAAATTCTCCATTTGCAATATAGTTTTCATTCAGTAACATTTAGTGTATGGCTGGTACTGGTACTGTACTAGCCACAAGAGATAGGATAAACACATTCTATTGGAAGAAAAGAATTTTAACCTCATCACTACGTACTCAATGAGTGTTTAGTATGAGAAAAACCTAGTACTAAACACTAGGAAAATGCAAGTAAGAAAAATCCGTTTCCTTCCCTTTCATTTCTTTCTTACATACTCCACTCTTTTCCACATTATAGTGCAAGCTGCCATATCTTTTCTGCTGAGAGTACAGTAACTTCTTAATTCCCTGTTTCTACTCTTGCACTTTGTGTAATCCATTCTCCACATGGCAGTCAGCATGGTTTTTGTCCAAATATAAATCAGATCATGTCGTTCCCTCCAATAGTTTCCCATAGTACCCAGAATGCAAATCAAACTTTCCACCATGGTCCACAAAAGTCCACATGATGAGTCCCCAGCACAGATCTCTGATACCACTACTCTCTCCCCTCACTCCATATTTTCAGGCACATCATCCTTGAGCAAGCCTCAAGACCACTGCCCTTTCTAGCCTTCTTACTTTCTGGCTCCTTCTCAATTCATATTCCCAACCAAATATCACCTTAGAAAGACTTTCTGTGCTAGATATGTTTTGCTGGCACCTGCGCATTCATCTCTCCCCTTCTCCACCTTGCTTACTGCCCTGGGAGACTGACTGGTCAGTACAGACTACATCCATAGGATCCCTTGTTCTGTCTTCTCATAGAGTTTGTGCAATTAGGAACCCCAACAGAGGGAAGGAGGAGAGGGAAGAAGTCAAGGTATTTATTCCTCTGGCTCACTCATGAATGGTCTACTCAAACTGGCTATGATCCTTGACCAAAGATCATTCCTGATTTCAAGAAAACTCTTTCTACACAACTCTTTCTTCCAGGTTCCAGTAATAACTGCCTTTTTTTGTCCCCTCTAACTTAGGGGTAGAAAATGGCTTTACAACTTTTAGTCCATGGATATTGTATTATCATTTGTGGTTTCCCTATACTCTGGTATTTTGTAAATTGCCCCTTTATCATGAGCTCCCAGAACTATCCTATCTCTTTGCTACTGGGACCTTGATTGATGAAACAATAGTACCAGAGATGGAAGCAAGAAACACACACATACAAAGGATTCTAGGATAAGCTCCTTGCCAGGGTGAACTACAGTGGTATCAAAACTTCTCAAATAATCCCCAGTGTTAGCAAGGAATGGTGTTCAGGTAGAAGGCAGGGCATTGGGAGATCAAGTAGCTAACATTTAGTCACTAGGACAATAAAAATGATTATAAAAATTATGTAGTCACTTAACTACTTCTTTCAGACCAAAAAGTAGTTGCAGTACCTATTAAATATCTAATCCTCTAAACCTTGTGCACTAAGGTAATAAAGCTACTAAGGAAAGAAATAGGAAACTGAAATATGGGTTGTGAACATGAGAGCAGACATGAATGAGGGTGAGAGTTTTGGATCCCTAAATTCCACTTATCTTCCCTTGACAGAGGAGACTGGCTGAGGGGTTGTCAGATCCTCTGAGACACTCAGATCTCTCCTGCATAAATATATTTCAATGGCTACACTGTGACATTGCCTCATATGGTATAACAGACCTGATTTAAGCACTCCCCAGAATCACTCAGCTGTGACTCCTGAACCCGCTCATGGAACCACAACCATCACAGTCCTTCAGCCTCCCACATACCTACTCTACTTAGGTGGCCCTGAACCAGTGGCTGCTGGCCCTAGCCAGCACAGCCTTGGCTACAACACCCTGGAATATTCTAAGTGAATTAACCTCAAACTTCAGTATACATCAGAGTCACCTGGAGGCTTGCTAAAACACAGATGTGGGCCCCACCCCTAGTGTCTCATTGAGTAGATCTAGAGTGGAGTTCTAGAATTTGCACTAACAAGTTCCCAGGTAACACTGATGCAGGGATCACACTTTGGAGACCACTGCTGTAGAGGAATTAGGTCTAAGGTTTGGGGAAATGGGAATTGGATTGCAATATGAAGCATGCTTAGTCAAGCCCTAAGCCCTGGAAAAACCAAAGAATGTATCAGTGAGGGGGCACAATACCCTCAAAAAGCTTGTGTGTACGGACCTCAGAGCTGGAAAAGAATGAGAGTGGGGGAACAGCAGCAAAGAAAGTTGGTTCACTGATCTCAATGGGACTAACAGGATCCTGGAGTGGCAAAATCCAGCTAATGCTGCTTTACCTTTACAGATGTGGTGGACACAATTACCACAATAAACCACAAAATTTTAACTTGCAAGGATGTATGGCAATAACTAAAGATCCTTGGAGAAGGAAGAGATGAGCAGCCTGCTTAAGTGTTCTTCGACTTACATGGGTGAAAAACGTATAGGTCTTCTGGGCATACAGCTAACCAGCTATCATGGGGGTGTACAACCTCCTACCCAGCTCTCAGACCTAAGCCAGTTCACAGTCCAAAACCCCTCACGTGGCCACAAGGCTGGGCCAGGTCCCACTGAGGAAGGATCCTGCAATGTGGCCTAGGTTTTTATAGTAAATTTTCTTTGAAATCTTCCAAAAGTGTGAGAAAGGAGAAATACATAAACCTTCTGGGGGTTATTA